CCCCTCCCAATCACAAACATCATACACACTTGTCGTACACAATATAACAGCATAATAAGGGTACAGCAAAGGTTACAGAATAGACTTGCACAGCAGAATTCAATTTTAGAACACCCCTGGCCCCAAAGACGCCAGAAATGCAGTTCGTTGAATGCAGAGTACACAGGAAGTGCCCGAGGTCTAATTGAACAGTGCAGGTCTACAGAATTTGCTTGTGTTACCAGTTTTTGGCTCATGAGCTTACATCACATTGTAAACCTAGGACACAGGACAAACACGAAAGGGCCTTTTACTGTTTGTCCTGTGTTCATCCTAGGGATGTACAAAATACGAACTTCAAGAAGGTTATGAGTCGCAAAGATGCAGGGCTGTGGCACTGCAAACAAAAGCTGCCACAAGTACATTCGCTATACACAAATGCATGCTGGTGCTGTCCCAGAAATATTTTATAGTGATTCAAAGGATTAGACCTGCAATGAAGTGACATAGTTCCGTACTAAAATAAGTGGATGTGGGGCGGTCAGTTATAGTGCCCAGATGTAGTACAGCTGCATCTGTTTTCTCGAAGGTAAGAGAACTGGGAACAAACAATGCAAGCATTGTAACAGGAAACTGTTTTGGGCAGTACAGTACAATACCGAAATTGTTCGTTTTAGGGGGTTTTACCATGGGGGAGGGGGGAAAGAGAACAACCAATGCTGTCTATATCCACCATTTGATCATACAATTTTTCGACTTCGAATGCTACATGTCATCGCAGCAAAAAAGCAGGGGCTAGAGGAGCTGTGGACAGTGGCCTGCAATGAACACAGAACATGAACCAGAGCTACTATGAATGTGGTATGCTCCTTGTTACCAACAATAAACCTTGTAGATATACTTGCAGTTTTCTTGTTGACTGATTATATTACTATAACTGCTCATATTAGACCAACAATATTGTATAACTGCTCATATTAGACCACAATTCTCACCACTCCACATTCCCGGCTTTGATGCAGTCGACTTCAGCTGCAGAAAACACGTTTTACACTATTTTGAGAATCTGCTGAGTAATCCGCCTGTTACAGCAATCTGGCACTTTACCAGTCATTTCCAAATGCTGTCGGACATCTCGCATGCCTATCGCGGTGCAGCAGAGAGCCGTTCGCGGGCGTGGTATTTGACGCTGGAGAGACTGAAATCGCAAGCTACCAGTTCAAGAAGCAAACAATTTAAACTTTTTCAACAAAACCGCGACCGTAACGTAAGGGCATGTCACATACCAGGCAACATAAAAAGCGCGAATGTTGCGCGGCAGCGAAGTTGCAAACGCGGTCCGCATGCCTGATTGAAAGCGATGGCGACGAAGCGCGACGATAGCTGCAAATCATGTTTTCTATGCATCACATTTCCTTGCAACTGTTGAGATGCCGGCCAGTGCGGTTTGATAGCACAGACTCCCGCTCTTTCGCGAGCGACCTGAGCGACCGCTACGAATACGCACGCCACAAACCTGCTTGCAACCCGCTGGCTGAATCAACTGTCAACATGCACTCTGACTCCTCCCAGTGGGAGTGCGGGTGAGGACACCCGGCACTCTGGTTGGTTGGCGCACTGATACAATTCTCTTTGAGGAGAATTCGCCGGTGCACAAGTTGAGGTGAAAAAGAGTATAGCTGTAACCCTCTTAAGAAAACCGCTTGTCATGTCTTTTTCTTTTGCTGTGAAGGTGACGAATGATGCAGCGCTATTCGATTTCAACTGGTATTTGCACACCCCTAGTTAGCACGGTATGGGCGAAATACACGGTGGCAAACAACACGCAAAATGAATGGCCTCATGCCGCGCAGTGCAGCGTCGAGTCCCAGGTGGGTGGTGACAGTTGAAGTAAGAGCCACGACGGAATGGACGATGGAACAGCCTCATTCCCCCTGATTGTGTGGTCGCGCACTCTTTGTTTGAGTGGTTTGAAGAACACCGTACGACCGTGCTGAAGGGTGGCCTAGGGTTTCAGCGCTCGTTTACGGCCAACTGCGCTGCTGGACGTAAGTTTGATGTTTTAATATGGATGGTGTGCCAGTGGCATCTGCAATGGCACAAGATCTTTCATTGTGAAAGAAACGAAGAGGTTTTTACGGGCCGAAATTTGGACGCTTTCCGGAGTTAGAGGCAAGGCTTGCAACACACGTCGCAGAAATGCACGATCGGACTCTGCCCGTGATGCGCAACGTGATCACAGAGCACGTGCGGAAAATGCTGTTGTTCGTGAAGTGCACGAGATTTCGTTGGACGACGACGTGCTTTGGGAATGTAGCAGTGATGACGACGAGAACAAGAGCACCAGTGAGAATTAATAATAATTTGCAGACATGTTCACTGTGGAATGCACCCTTAGAAAACAAATGCAAAGAAAAAAATAAAATTTTTTAAACAGCGTTGATGGAAAAAGGATGTCATAAAATAAATTTAACATAAAAAAATTAAAATTTTTAGAGCTTTGTTTACGGCGAAAAACGAATCTGCGGGAGCCAGCGAAAAAGTGGCTACTAGTTACGTGGTATACTGGAGTTGTTAAGCGTCGCCGCAAGTTACACCGGAGCGTTGCATGCTGCCGCCGGAACGTGTTTTTTTTCTTCTTTATACGCAAAAAGTAATTTTAAATATTGTTTCAAATAAAAGAAGAAAAAAAAACTTCACAAGTCTTATCCAATCAATAACAAAAAAACTTAAAAAATTAAGAAAAAGTAATTATCATCATCATTACTTAGCAACTTTTTTTCACAACCCCGCTGGAAGGGAACATGGCGCGCCGCCGCCATCACTTTTTGACCAGCGCACAGGTCTATCATGTGGCGCTTGCACTCTTTCAGGAGCTTCCTATAGGCTCAAAAGTTACTTATTAATCTTTGTCTTATTGTTGCACTTAAAATGAAAATTAATAATGAACTTTTAGAGCTTATAGGGAGCTCCCGAAAGAGCGCAAGCACCACGTGACTATGGTGGCCAGTCACGTGACTCTAGTAGCCCCTTTTCCGCGGGCACCGACTACAAATTTGTTTCAAGTCTTAAATATAGCTCGACAAAAAGTTTTCTTTCATAGGAAAGTAATTTTATGACATCCTTTTTTCTTTCAGGCTGTTAAAATAACTTTTTTGTTCCATTGCATGTCTTGTAAGACATTCCTTTTTTTTTTTTTTTTTATTTTACTAACATGCAAGGGGGTTGACTTAGATTTCAGCCATATGGTACCACCACCTAGATATTTCACCTTTTCCTCTAGGTGCACATAAATTTATTTCAATACAATTCTTTTCCTTAAACCTTCAAAAATTTTAACTCGCAACCCAGCGATGTCCGTTTACAGTTTAAGCTCGTTATAACAGACCTTGATTTTGACCAAGATTTCAATCTGTTGTAAAACAAGTATGTTGTATGCAGACATGAAGTTGAGTCAATGGTACATGGAGGAAAACCAACCAAACTTCACGAATAGGTATGTTATATCCAAATGTCTATTGTAACCAGGTCTGTTGCAATGAGCTTAGACTGTACTACCTCTGCACGAATTTTCGTCTGCCACTAATCACTATCAATCATGTTTTCCATTAACCCCTCATATTATTTATTCTTGCATATTGTTTGATTTTGTTTTGTGTTATGTATAGGGCAGGGATGGCCAGGCTGACCCGGCCTAAGAGTCGCAAACAAAACCGCGAAACTTCCAAGAGCCGCAGGGAAGGGAAGGGGGGGCAAACTTGTCCAGAGCAATAAACAAAACGAAGTACTTTCAATCTATCCGAGTCAAAAGCAGTCCAATTGTGTGTACGGTAGCAGTAGCACAAGGCTACCAAACCGCAACCTGTCTTTCGATTTAAAACGCGTTCCATTTCTCTTTTGGGAAAAGTGCTCCTCTGACCAGGAGGGTGGCAGGGGAGGGGGGAGAGAGCCACAAGTCGCACTTTAACACGTGAAGAGCCTCATGCGGCTCGTGAGTCGCAGCTTGGCCACCCTTGGTATAGGATAATTTTTTTAGAGCGCAGCTCTTAGGGGCCCGTTCCCGGCTTGAGCGGCGTCGCCGTCGCCGTCGCCGTCGCCGTCGGCGTAACCGCGCGGTGCATTATGGGTAAAATTCCCCGCTAAATCTAGCGGAAAAAATTTCCCCGCTAAATCTAGCGGAAAAATTTCCCCGCTAAATCTAGCGGAAAAAATTTCCCCGCTAAATCTAGCGGAAAAAATTTCCCCGCTAAATCTAGCGGAAAAATTTCCCCGTCAAATCTAGCGGAAAAAATTTTCCCGCTAAATCTAGCGGAAAACTTTCCCCGCTAAATCTAGCGGAAAAAATTTCCCCGTTAAATCTAGCGGAAAAATTTCCCCGCTAAATCTAGCGGGAAAATTTCCCCGTCAAATCTAGCGGAAAAAATTTTCCCGCTAAATCTAGCGGAAAACTTTCCCCGCTAAATCCTAGCGGAAAAAATTTCCCCGCTAAATGTAGCGGAAAAAATTTCCCCGCTAAATCTAGCGGAAAACTTTCCCCGCTAAATCTGGCGGAAAAAATTTCCCCGCTAAATCTAGCGGAAAAAATTTCCCCGCTAAATCTAGCGGAAAACTTTCCCCGCTAAATCTAGCGGAAAAAATTTCCCCGCTAAATCTAGCGGAAAAATTTTGGTCACGTGACCCGGGGGTCACGTGACCTGGGGAGTCACGTGACCCCCTCCCGAGGTCACGTGACCTCTGAGGGGGCACGTGACCCCCAAGGTCACGTGACCCCCCCCCCCCCCCGAGAACACGTGGCCCTCAGTACCCTCCCCTCCTCCTCCTCAAGAGCTGCGCTCCAATTCGGCGTTACAGGGAGTGGTAAACGGCTTTCACTTTTTCCCCCATTCTCACAATAGCCTCGGAAGGGCTGCAGTGCTTTAAAATAAAATTATAAAAACCTAATCTTGTTTTTTTGTAGATTCTTTCCCGTGCAGCGCAAATCTGCAAACTCCCAGAGTGAGCCCAAAGGATGCTGGACATACCTCGATGAGCTCAGCTCTGCCTCCTTGGACGCAGTGACTAGGAGAGGATGGAGGCGGGTTCTCTGCAGCAGAGGCTGAAATTGACAGACATGTGGCCTCAAGATTCGAGGGAAGAGTTCTGCAAAAGAATAGGAGATAAGATAAAAGCCCACCACATAACCTTGTATACTTACGCAGAGATTGCATTACAATGCCAAGTAGCATTGCTGAGATATTGGTAGCCCACAGTAACCAAATCTTGAAGTCTAGAGCAGGGATTCCCAAACTTTTGTATCTTCTCTCTCGAATCGCTGCCGAGAAACCCCCTCCCGGTCTCGATGCAGTAAAGCAGCACAAACCCTACAGACCTCGTAAAAAAATAATGCACATACAAGGGAATGTTTACAGCATAGTTGTGGATCAGTGGACAGCCCAGATCTTCCGAACCAGTGCTTAAATTAGGAGAGAGTTTTTTTCGGGGGCAGGGATGGCGAAGAAAATGTGGAAGCTTGGAGGACCCCGAGGGTTTGGGGGGGGGGGGGGGGGGGGCGGGGGGCACACTTCTGGGTTCTAGGATTTCTTCAGAACACCCTAATGAATTTCTCCCCATGAGAGCATTAATTTCTCCCCATGAGAGCATTTGGTGATGCACAGTATATATATTAGTTTGAGGTGAAAAAATGAAAGACATTTACAACAACCTGTAATGCCAAATTAGAGCGCAGCTCTTGAGGGGGAAGAGGCAAGGGTACTGAGGGGAGAGTATACCCCTCTTCCCACCGCCTCACATTCTCATCATCCCTGCTACTCCTCCCCTCTTCCCTTCTCCTCTTCCTTCCTCCTCCTTCTCCTCCCTGCACGTTGCATCATGGGAGATGTCCCACAATGCACCGCGCGGGACCCTCGTGATGTCACGAGGGTCCCGTGCAGTGCATTATTGGATATGTCCCATAATGCACCATGCGGTTACGCCGACCGCGACGCCACTCAAGCCGGAAAAGGGCGCCTAAGAGCTGCGCTCTAAAAAACAAGAACACGGTTAACATTTCTCCCGGACGCCCAGAGCTCCAGTACGGTGGACACCCACCCTGATAGTCTTGGTGTAGATGGCAAAGTTCTCCCGGCTGTGGTCCTGACTGCCATAGTATCCCCTCAGGTAGGCCAAGAAATTGCAGGGGTACATGCCATACAGGTGCTGAAAGAGGGTCTGCAGGCCCAGCCGCAGGTAGGACAGGTGTGTGTCGAGGATGTGACCTGAGAGGAAATGGGTTCCCCGCGTTTCCATATTTCTCTCACATACCAAGGTAAAAATCAAAAGCAATGTTCGGAAAATGGTTGGTTTATTAAATGCATAGCACCTATAAAGTCAGCTCTCGAGGGTTTTCGTGTCTGTCACAGGTCATGGAGTAGCTAAAAAAAAACTTTGCTTTGCTTTTCTAGTATTGGCCCTAATTTTTTGTGAGGGCACTCATTTTGATGTAAAGCAGGTGCAATTTGTGATTGTTCAATTAAAAAATGTGACTTTCGTGACTTTCTGAGCTTTAACTAGTATACTGTCAGGAAGCTTAGGTGATATGTTTTCCTCCATCGGGGACTGTTTTAATATTTCCTGAGGTTGGAAAGCAGCTTCCTGCGATTTCAGAAAAAACTTGAGTTAACTGGCAACAATGATTTTAAGAACCAAGGTGGGAGTTTGGTTGCTCTAGAGCGTAGCCCATTTGGTTGCTTCTAAGGAAAAAATTAAAATCTGATACTTCTCCGCCTGCTTTCGGCCACATGCGTGCAAAATGCTCTCGGCCACACGCCACGAACGCCCAACTTGAAATTCTGTTAAAGAACCGACGTAAATCACGAGCACCGAAATTACTATTGGTACGCAATAAATTAATGAGCATAGATGAGCCTAAGGAGAGTGTAAGAAAGCAGACCGGATTACCAAATCCCATTTTAAAGTCGAAAGACTGAAAGAATGGTGCCGATGATGTTTTCCCCAATTTAAGGGGGGACTAGAGTAGGTTTCGAGATCATCAATTTATAATGATAAGTTGATAGCTCAATCTACCAGCTCTAGGCGTCCAAAAAACCCGAAATCATACTCATGGATGGCCGATTTTTCTATTAAAAATTTAATCAAAGATTGTGACATGCCCCTTTGTCTGTGCCTTGAAGCAGACATGAGGCGGGGGGGGGGGGGGGGGGGGGGGGGGCGGCGTTTTATGGCATTCTCAAACAATAATTGATGTATTAAGTCTCCTACACCCAAAGATTTGACGCTTCTGTCAAAATATAATGCACAACATGCATGCACAAGATTATTGCTCTTGTGCACATGCATGCACAAGAGCAATAATAGTAACAGTGAGAATCTCCTTGCAATTAACTATTTTCATAGGTCAAATTTTAAGGAGGTAATAGAGATCTGAGGATGCCCCCTCAAGTCTGTATTTCTATTCCTGTGGGTTTACTGGATGTCTTGCCGTCTAGAACTGTTCATTTTTATTGGCTAAAGCCCAACAAACAATATTATATTAAAAATAAGCTTCTACAAAAAAACATGAGTGTCCCTTTAAGGCAAGACACCAAATGCATTTTTTGTTTGCTGACAGATTATAATGAAAATCAATATGTATGCATGGTTTGTCTCCCTCTTTTCAAACATAAAATTAGTTTTGAGACATCTTGGTTATTTTTCGAGTTACTGTAAGAAAAATACTGTCGTAAGAAATTAGGTCATTTCTTACGACTAATTAACATAACTACCATCACAGAATGCAACAGTTTTCAAGAAAGCTAAAGGAAACACTCAAAATACTCTTGTTGGGGCATTTAAAATGCCTCATTTAAAGACAGCAGAAAATTATTCTTGCTCACAAGCGAGGCTTGTATGCACAGTCGGGAATATGGCTGAACATTTTGAATCGGTTGGTAGGTTTGTTTCTAATTTCAACTCGCTTATTGGTACCAACTGGCAGTACCCCCTTCCCCCTTCCCCCTCTCAAGCACTCAGGTACACATATGCCGCATACCCCCTTCCCCCTCTCAAGCACTCAGGTACACATATGCCGCATACCACATACCGCCGCCCAGTAGGCCTAAAGTGTATGATGAGGCGAGTTCTTGTTTTTTTTTTCTCACCCACAGCTGCATGCCAATACAGGCCTTTCATCTGAGTGGTTCCACAGCAAGGCCTCCCAATTCAAGCACACACAAGGAGACAAAAAAGAAACTCACTAGGTTTCCTTGTACAGAGCGCTGCGAGGGAAGAGAAAGCTTCAAAAGTCTCCTGGAGCACCGTGGTGTTAAACTGCATGGGCAGCATGGGCATCAGGCTGATGACAATGACGTTGGCCAACATGATGTGTGTCGGCTCCTGGTCGCCATGCTGCATACACAAACCCTACACTTAGAAACCTCAAAACACAGTCTCAAAAAACTTCCAATCCTCACAAAACCTTATCCCTTTTGTCCCTTCTGCTGCAAGTTTGAACCTCTCCTCTCTGTTTGAGAGGCTACAAGGTTTCTTCCTTTTCTCCTGGTTCCTTCTTTCCCTCCCTCAATACCCTAGCTACAGGATAGGGGAGAGTGGGAGAGGGAGGCTGATTTCCTTCTCACCTCACTCTCCCCCAACCCTCCCTTAACCTGCAGCTTGTAGCGAGGTCACAAGTAGGGTTCTGCATGTTCAGATAAATACCATAAAGTCCAAAAAGCACACCACAGTAAATACATATTGGATTCTGATTTTATTTGAAGAACTCTGAATTTAAGAACCACTAGTCGTAAAAAAACCCGACTAGTAGTTTTTATCTTTTTCAGAAATCCCAAAACAGCTTTTGCAATTCTTTTTTCTTTTTTTCACACTTTTATTTATAAACACAAAAGAATGTTTCTGAACCCTTATCACGAAAAGAGGGTGACCACCCTGCGACAACCGTCGAACCCACCCGGTCTTTTTTTGCTGCTGAATTTAGAGCACTTTTTCTTGGACAAGTCACTATTCTAGACATTCGCTGGCCTTCATTCAGCCCCCTTTTGTTCCCAGCCACGTTGACGAGAGGGAATCGGGATTCAGTCTGACTTTTTCAATACCTGCGTGCCATAGGCCGGAAGTAAAACTCTTTGCTGGTTAAGCCCAGGAATGTGTTTTGCTCAGGTGCCTTGCACCTTATCACTTTCTACAATCATCGGAGCCTTTATTGAGTTTTGCCACCTGTAAGTTAGCACAACTACAGAAAAGGTGTCCTCCGCCTTGCTGAGTACCGAAATTCCAATCACCGCATCACGAGACAGGTGAGCGTATTTAATTAGCTGTATGCGCTTATTTCCGACAAATTCATTAATATTCTGGAAGACTCTTATTGTGTTGTCTAGAAAAATTTGGTTTTAATACATTTGCTGACTGCGGTCCTCTATCTTAGGCAAAGAGCACTAAACATTCTAAAGAAACCCAAATTTTGTGAATGACCAACAAAAGCTCTAAAAAGCTTGTAATTTAAGGTTAAAAAAAAGAAAAAACAACTCTGGAAGACATTTTTTAATACTGCTAAAAAATAAACCCGAAAAATGCAGAACACCAGTGGTATAGGGCTGTGCGGCTGAAGTTTCGCCGCGCATACGCAGCGCCACTCCTCCCCCTGGCGAGGCGCGCCAATACTTGTTAGAAGTACGAGGAGCAGACGACGCGGGAGGCTGGTGCGCTTGTCGTGCTGGCCTCGCGCTTTGTAAAGTAACGTACCGAATGAAAAAGTTACCCAAATGTCACAGCATCGTATTAAACAGAAAGGTATCCGCCTCCCGAAAAGTTTTGTTTGGTTCCTGGAAGGTGATCCAAGAAAGATCGCCAGAAGCATGAATCGCCAGCTGTGAGGAGGACAGGTTTAATTATTGTTTCTCTATCTTGTCGCGTGATTCGGTATTGCAACTACGCTTGCTTGTCACATTAATACGAACCTTTTGTAGGTCACACGCGAGAGCATGCAGGGGTTTTGCGTTGCTTGGGGGCGGTATGAGCTGGCGCCCGTGGGGCCCGCAATCCGACACTGATGTTCTACGATAAGTCCCTAATTAAATAGCTAAGATGGTTCCCCATGGCTGCCTGCGAACGAAACCCGAATATACAGTTACCATTTTTTTTTATAAAGGACTTTAAATTTGAGAACCATGCTCACTTTGCTTACCCGCCCATTTTGTTCCCCAATGTTAACAAGAGAAAGCGGGTAAGTGGCCACAGACTTGTGGAAAAATTAGGCAGATAATCGTATCCCCTATTGCGTACTGACTTGAACGCATAATTGAAAAGAAATTGACGGCTGTTTTCTAGTTTTTCTATATAATATTAAAATAATGTAGTTAGCCCACAACAGGCATCATTACTTCTTAAGGGCGTCACAAAATTAGACCCTAGAACGTCCTTGGGTCGACCAATTTGAGCGTGTTGGCGATGTTAGATGTTCCTAATGTAATAGCTAGGATGGTTCCCCGTGGGTGTCGACAAAATAAACCCGATTATGCAGTTACTATTTTTTAAACAAGTTTAAATTTGAGAACCCAGCTCATCTTGCTTACTAGCCAATTTTTCATTTTGATAAATTAGTGGAGACTGGGTCGAGAAAACTAGAAACATCAACCGTGGGCAGAAAGAGGTATCTCTCATACACGGTTGATATTTTTAGTTTTTTCGCCCCAGTCTCGGGCAATTCATCCAAATTGTTAATATACACACCGGCTCGCCTGCGGTCTCACAGTTTTTCTATCAATTTTGTTCCCTTTCTGGTGCTTACAAGAGAAGGAGAGTAAGCAGCGAAAGACATGAGGCCCAATGAGGCAGATAATCATAGCCCGTATTGAGCACTGAGTGACCTGAGCGCACAGTTGAAAAGAGATTTACACTGACGGCCATACTCTTATATTATTTTTATACTTTTATATTATTAAAAGGATGTATTTACAGGCATAATTACTTTCCAAGTAACTCTAAAACATCAAACCCGGACATCCCTCGGTCAACCAATAAGAGTGTGTTGGTAATGCTAGATCTATAAATTGAAAACAAAATAAAGAAGGCGAGCACAGGGCACGTCACAAAGGCCAGTAACTGAGCATTCATGACTGAAATTTAATATTAAGTAATCTTTTCTTGCAGAAAGAGAGTGAAGGAATATTGACGATCCTCTCCTGTCACACAGACTCAAGATATATCAAGTTTAATTGTGCCTAAACGGAAAACAAAACAAATAGTGACGCAAAAGTATTTATTTGTTGTGAACCGGAACAGTGTTCAAAATTATCATTCTGCGGTCACATAAAAATAAGTTTAAAAAAAGGGGACGCTTTTCAACGCAAATGCAAGTTTATTGGAGATCCCTCTCTTCACTAATAAAATTAAAAGTGGGTTACTGACGCTCGTACATGAATTGCGATTTTACCGCTTTGACGGCAGCAACACATGCGCGCAAACACAGCAAGGTGTTGCGACGTATAGTAATATATATATATATTTTTTGTTGGACCCGCTCAAAATAAAAGCGGAGGCCTTATTGACATACCGTTTTGGATTTTTATTAGAACCTGACCCAGTGTTGCGATCAGGCTGTACGTGCCTCGTCATTGACTTCATTCGGATGAATTAGAACAGGCGCGGCATGCTTCCATCAGCAGGTAACTCTGAGAACTGACCTGAGTTCAAGGTATGTATGCGACAGCGCAGCTGTGCGCTAAAAGACAATTTAAACAATATTGCATCCTCATTTTTGTCCGAATAGCCCTGACTTTGAAGAGCTAGCGAAACCATAAAGAAAAAGAGCATTTATCTTGAGGCAGATGTTACAGTCAACCCTGTCTTGCACTTGCGAGACACACTTCGCAAACGACAAATACTTATATGCCTGAATTATTTGCTCCACCCCGGAGACCTGACACACAGGCAACCTTTCTTTGCGGAGTTTCGCTTCCCTAGAAAATGATCACAGTTTTTTTAACGCACAGAAAGCTTCAACGCGGTGCCCGCCATTGCAACTGGCAGCGCGATGGGACGAGCGAACGGCTAAGTAGGGCGAATTTGGGCCACGGCGCGGCGCCACTGGTATCGCTCCAGCGCGCCCCCTGGCCCAGCCGAACGGTCCCATTGCACTTTTCGCTACTGTCTGTGGGAATGCCCAGGAGAGTAAGACACTTCTCTGGCACTTATTTCATACCATTGGACTTGCACTGTTTTGGTAGAAAAAAGCAGTCGGGGGTAAAGGCATGAAAAATAGTGTTAGACATAGATGTTGTAATCAATGTAAGAGTGTATAATGCTGCATGTGGCACTCACTGTTATATGTCTGTCATCCACTGAATATTTGACAAAGCTGGACAAGCACACAAACTGCAGAAAGACTAGCCACAGTCTTGCCTTTTCCTTTCTTGCCATCTGTTATTTTCAAGAAACCTTTTTTCTGACAGCACAGCATGCCCATTCTCTTTTCATTATGCTCAAATGATTACAATGATTGCACAAAGCCCACAGAGATTATTGTACTGATCACAGCTTTTTCTTACCTTAATGATCCCCAAAATCTGACTTAGGATCTTGTGACTGGTGATGCAGTGAAGCCAGGAAGGCTGCTTGTGCACAATGTTTGTGATGAGCTTAAGGGTGTCAAGTCGCATCTTTCCCCGAAGTGAGTCCAGCAATTTGTCGAACAGGTACTGAAATAAAATAGGCCCCACAACAATCATATCACACTTCACGGGACCATGGTAAATGCTATGAGTAAACCCAGTGCCATGAATCTGTCGTATGAACTTCAATTGGACAAAGAGATACAGTGAGCACAAATGCAAGGCCATGCGATATACTACTCGTACTAGACTAACTAAGGGGGCCCAAAGCATTTCTCGTGGCTTACTCTAGGATGAAAAGAACTAAAATAAAATTTACGACATATTTTAATGAGATTAGAGTCATTTGCATGATTTTCCAGAGAACTATATGTATCCGGTAACCACTTAAGGTTGTGTGTCGGATGTCACCCGACAAAGAAATATTCTCGTTGCAGTCAGGTGTCAGGGCTCCCCGACAGCCCCATTCCTGCTTTGCGAAGAAGTGTTGCATACGTTCTGACATTTTTAATTCGCGCCATCTATCGCCAAGAGAGTAAGCATGACGCCTTTAAATTTTAGCTGTACCTGACGTGGCACAAGTAATGACACTTTCACAAATCATTTTTTTTCTGGACGAGCAAGATTTCTCTTGCACATTTACGCCTCATTTATTATGGAAGCCCTTTCTCCGTTCCTTTTTTATGGAAAAGAAGTGAGCGATTCAAGTGACGGTGATTTTAGCGGAGGAGACAACCCGGAAGGGGACCCTGAAAGTTTCTGTGATGAATCCTCAGAGAATTTTTGTGGCAGTTCTGCGATTGATAGTGATGAGGAGAATCCTACAGACATTGCCATTTCTCAAAGCTGGACACCCTACTTGGATACAGACCAAGGTTCTGAAACTCTTTGATGTACAAACAGTCTGAGCACGTGACCCTGCATGCCAACCAAGCGTGCCGACAGGTCACTGAATCATGTGGCGTTAAACGTTGTGCCTCCCTCATAACAGGATACAGCACTTTCAGCTTTTTCTTCACAAACACTTTGATGATGAATATTATTTATGACCACTATACTCTTTTTCACCTCGAGAAAAAAAGGAAGTTTTGCACATTGTTTGTTCGCTGCACGAAGCAGTTCTTACAAGATTTGTCTGCTGGAGGAAGAAGCAATGCTTTTGGCACTTGGAGTGTGTATGTGTTGATAAGGTAACATCTGTCTAATCTCAAATGGACCTACATACCGTAGAATACCGTGCATCCGCCCATACCACATTAAGCGCCCATTCCTAATTTTGGAAAATCTGAGAAAATGTGCACAGTACATTGATATGTAGAATTGATGACCGGACAAGCGCCCATCCCCTATTTTTTCATGATTATCTCAAAATTTAGAGTGGGCGCTTGCCCGGTATTTTACGGTATATCTTGATTCTCTGCTCTTGAGGCGAAAATGAGTATAGGTGACGTCATTGTTTTTAGGGCAAAATAATTCTGACCCGAGGGACAAATGCGAAAAGTCACATGACCGCAAAACGTTAAGCTTGATGCATGCCATCCCCCGTAAGCTGCATCTGTAGGACCTCATGCCAAAGATAATAATTTCGTGGAGGGATGATAGATTCAGAGGTCTTCCTCAAAGATCCATACCATAATTTCCATATAGATTCGACAATATAGAGACGTTGTAAGCCATTACAATGCGTCACATTATAATCACTTACAACATTGTAAGCCATTACATTATGTCAGCAAGCAGCCCAAAATAGGGCAAGATAGTTTTGTCTGAGCTGAGGCTGCGAGTGGCATATTTGGCATTGAGCAACTTGTACACACAGGAGTCTGCATCATTGAACATTGAACACTGGGAATCAATTCTCTCTGTGTGCTGTAGAGAAGGCAGAGCATCACTGAGCACGAAGATTTCCAAAACCACTTACCTTATTGTTCGGTTCTCGGATCGCAACTAAGAGATCCAAGCACCGTTGAGATCGTGTGGACAGGTAGTATTCAACCAGTCCATTTAAAACGCCCGGGTCCTTATCTATTAGACACAAAAAGAAAAATGTGTTGCTGGGATGAAAGGCAAATACCGCACAGGTAATAAATTCATTTCGAAAGTCACGTGCTTACTGTTAAAAAGGTCTAAAGCACTGCACAAAAGCGGAACAAGCGAAACCCCAGAACGTAAGGATCTAAAACTTCGTTAGGCAGAACTGAAGTGGCATTAGTAGAATTTCTAGGGTTCCAACGTTAGCGGTGTCTTTTGTGTCTGCCATTGTGCAGGGATTTCACAGCTACAAACAAATGGCACACTTTCGAAAGTGGTCCATAAGCCGAAAAACCGACTTCAACTGACGGATTTCTGTTTGTATCGTTATATCATTATATCGTTACGCTCTCAACCTCTCAACACCATTAACTCGCCTCGCACCACTCCTTTTGCAAGAGCGTGTATGTCATCCACTGAGATCACCGAGTGAGCCACACGGCGACACAAATGTTATCGGAGCCCCAAAAGACCACCGCGGATCCGAACTACCGTTTGTACGAACGCGCCCCGTGTAAACAAGTTTGTCAGCACCGCCGCACGCGAGAAGACAAGAACAAACAACACGCGACGCATTTGCACGAACTGAGACACAAACCGCAGCTTGAGATCGCAGTTTTGCACAAACGTTTTCACGAATCGGTGTACACGCCGAGATGAACCCCCTGCAAGAGCCACCACGACCCACAAAACAAACAAACAAACAAAAAGAAAGGGCAGAGCGCCGCTCACTGTTGGCAAGGGACTGGTTGACGAGTTGTTTAAGTTCCTCGATGTCCTGGACATCGGAAGACTCCAAGATTGTGAAAAGCTCCATCGGACAATCTCAGATTCACTCGGTGCTCGAGCTGATGAAGTGAGGGCACGAGCACGTTTCCAACAGCTGGGCGACGGCTGGGTCCCAGTGCACTTGCGAGCGGTCGAGGTGCGGCGAACAAGAACAAAATAACCCCTCTTCGTGTCGTGACAGCGGACAGATTGGTCAAGTGCCGCCGCCACCGCGGCCTGTTTACACGATAAAGACAGGCTGGCGCATGCTAACAGGGACCACGGAGCAGTTTCAAAGTGCATTTGCACAGACTGTACAGCACAGAGCGCATCGTCGGGTTGAGAAGTTGCCGAACTCTCTTTCTTACCGCTTTTTTAATTTTTTTATTTTACACTTGCCGGGGGTAGTTGCTAAAGTCAACCTGGTCTGTCATGACACTTGTATTATTGCGCTGGTTGTGAATTTTTAATTTGAAAGGAAGTAATTTATAAGACTTTTGTTCGAATTTAAAAATATTAAATCTGTTTTTTTTATTAGTTTATATCAATTTAATATATAGGAAACCTTCTGTGTAAAATTGCATAGAATGACACTAGTTTTTTTCGCGGAACTAGCGTCAGGAAGAGCGTGATAAGGATGTCACTTATGGTTCGAAATAATAAACTAAAAAGTTACACTAGCTCCTCTGGTGATGTTGGCTGGTACTTTCGTCCCAACTTGTAAACAAGTCGATTTCGTTCGTGATTACAGCTGCAGGCTGTAAACAGCTGCGAGGATTTTATTACCTCACTTTGAGTGATTAGTTTTCACTCTTCAGCGATCTGAAAAAAAGTTTTATTTTCTGTTTCCTTACAGGTTTATCACAGCCAACAGCCAACGCCCGGGCACTGACAAATCCCCATGGTGAACCAAAACCGAAACCGCAGATGTTTACGTAAAAACGTAAAAACCGCCCTCAAGCTCGTTGGAAAAGCGAGACCAGTGATACCAGCACACAGTGTACCAGTACCACGGATGGAATGGTGCATATAATCCTTCCTGTTAGTCTTATTATAGTTACACAATAAAAGAAAATTGTATGACGATACACACAATATTTTGTACTGATGCCAGAATATTTTCAATGGCAATTTTATACCAATCTGAAAAAGAAAATATCATGGAGATTTTGAGGACTCCTACTCCTCCGAAAAATATTCAAGCATGCGACTCATGTTACTTGTTTTATTTTTCTGACTCGAATCCTTTTCGGTTTTGCTTAGCCGTCGCGGTCGTCGCCGAATTCGAGCGCTAGAATCCAATCCAGCAACGTTGATGGTTTTGTAACAGTGTAGTCTTTGAACACGAGATGCCGCTACCAGTCCGCTTTTTGCTTTGGACGCATTTGGTGCGCGCGGAAGATTTAAGCAGGGCCGGCGAGGATACTCCACAGGTTTTCCCGTAGCCGTACGCCGTCCTTCGTCGAAGGGGAAACTTCGCCACAGTTAGTTATGATACTTGGCAACTTGGGGAGGTTGGCCACTGTGCAATCATATATAAATGCCTTTATAGATGTGTTGAAGATTGCTAATTTCATAAATATTAATTGTTAAAATGATCTCAACCACGAAAGGTTTTCCTTTCTCTTTAATTGAAAATAAATAAAAAAAAATGAATGTGTGTTTTTCTTTCTCCACGATGGTGCAGGAGCGGATCCAAGGAGGGGGAGGTGGGCGGGGTGACGGGGGCGGCCGCCCCCACCACCAAACGAAGTCGACCCCTCCCCCCTTCCCCCTTCTCGGAGGGCAATTTGACATGGGTGGACCCGCCGGTGCACAAGAAAGAATGGGAGAATAGTATCATTACAAATTTTAGCCCCCCCCCCCCCCCCTCCAAAAAAAAAAAAAAAAAAAAAAACCCGGAGTTTTGGAATTGTTTTTGCGATTGTGAGATGGTAAGCACGCTTTTAGCAATTACGTGACTTGACCTCTTGGAAAAGTGTTTCCACCATGCGTGCATTACAAAAAAAAAAAAAAAAAAAATCAGCAATTAAAACAACTGTGCAACAGTTGGTGTCTCGACCTTTCTGAAGTAAAGAACAAAAAACCGCTTTTGCCTGCATGTCGTACTTTTTTTATTTTAAAATGGGCAAAGATTGAGGTTTCGGCACCTCTCAACTCCTTCACCATCTTCCGAGTCACGGGAGCTGTGACGTCAATAGGGGTCGCGCAGGGTTCAGGTGAAGTAGAGTTCCTGTATAGCTACCTACGGTAGGGGGCCTATACAGGAACTCTAAGGTGAAGATCTCTCTCTAGAGCCATCAGTGAGCAGCGAGAACTCCTTCGCTCAAGGCGACCGCGTGACCACGTGCTGGCGGGCGCAGCCAACACCTCATAGAAAAGAAGGCCGTGGCTTTCTTCTCGTGACGTCACAAAGGAAGGCCATCGGGGGCGTGCGTCGATGCGAAAGCAACGCGCGTGGATCGACCGTCGTAACGTGCTTTTAGTCGCATGCGCGTCTTATTAGCTCAAATGAAATCTGCACATAGCAACGGATCTAGAAAGCATTTTATTACACGGGCAAAATATTACACCGCTAAATGATCGGTACGACATGGCATGAGGTAAGCTTATAAGACGTCGATAGAAAAATGTGATTGTTTTAAGTCGAAAACATTGAGTCACGCAATTATTGCTGTAGGAATGCAAATTTTATACAGAAATACTTCGGCAAAATGGCGAGACACGCATTGATTGGACACAGCAAAACAGATCACAGTTAAAAATCAGGTAGACGTACTCAACGCGGACAAGGCTAGACAAGCGTCACTTGCGATCATGTAAGCGATGTTATCGCGTGGGTCACTGAATTCTCGCATTATACCTCGGCCACATGGCAAAATGAATTCAATTTCGAGTGAATGAATATATGGGGTCGACAAATCAGCTTGTGACGCTCGTAGAATCATTCAAGACCGCGAGCTGATTAAATCCCGTATCATTTAATGAAAATATATCAACTTTTCCGTGTGGCAGGGTACTAAACTTACTATTTACAGTCACCTAATTTATTTCTCCTTATGGGCTCGAGCTGCCTTAGGACAAAATATAACTTGTTTGTATACAATAATACTATTGCCTTCATAAGAAACTAGTATAAACGCGGTAAAGGCAATAAAACATCAATAGTATAAATAAACACATAAGAACATACAACGCATTTTCAATAATTACACAAACTTATTATTCACCTTCCAGTGAGAACTAGAATATTACCACGCATGTTTACAAATGTCGACGCAACTGCACACGGATAACGACGAAAAACCTGATACCATTCTATCACAAGATTATAAAAAAAAAAAAAGAAAAGAAGAAAAAAAAACGACGGCAGCGCAAATTTATTTGCGTCCTACATGACCAAGAAAGCCCGTAAATAAGTTGTTTCTCACCTGTCAATCGTATCCATACGTCCCGAAATTTCCGTCACTAAAACATTTGAACACGAACTCCAAGAAGACTCTCTCTGCCGAGAGAGGTCTATCGATAATTGACCAGTGTCATCGTTGGCTAATAGACTACTTCCATAAAGCCCTGCATGCAACACGGCGCGCGTTGCACTCTGGGAACTAGTTGGCCAGGGAGGAAAGTGACATGGTTTCGGTTTCGATCGACACGTCGACAAGAGATTATACACAAAGCGTGGACTAGAAATGGCCGTTATTTTATGTTTTCTGGTCCCAAGAGCGTCATTTGTGGTCTCTAAACTAACCTAAATGGCCAGACCTCGAAGCTTTAGCACAAGCCCGATACGTATAGCTTGTCTTACGCATGCTTGTTGTATTTTTGTATTTGAGCATTTCTGTTAGTGTTTCGAGGTATGGTGGAGTAGCTAGTGCTAAATCTCGACGCTGCGAAGCTCGGGGATCTTGCTTGTGTGCGAATCAACAAGCTGCAGACACCAGTAAGTATGTATACATCGAGCTCGCGCCTTTACATTAGTGTTGCTGATTAGGAAGTTCGTTTGTTTCGTGCGTCCATAGACAAAATATAACTTTTTGCGATTACTGTTTTTCTTAATACGCCTGAGTACGCGAGGTAAAACTAGGAGGCACCATTGAAAAGCTCCATTTGAACACACTTCTCACCGCTTATCTGTACTGCCCCGCAGCACTGCACGAATTCGTGAAGTCGCCACCCACTTGTATTTCACTAATATTCGACATCGCGTATACGCATAGTTACCCTGCAATCATATAGGCACATTCGCACATACGAACCGTTTTAAGAAAGCAAAAGTCGAGCACTTGTGTGAAGAATGTCGCACCATTCGGTGGAAGTGCGCCGCATGAACGAAATTATTCAAAGCGCATTTGACAGTTGCTAATGGCCGTAATATTTGTTATGTGTTTGCTTTCTTCCTCACTGCGTATGCCGAAATAATTTCAGACACATCGTTCAGGCACAGATCTTGGGCGTCAGTAAAAGGTCGTCCAAAAAGGCTTAGCGAGGAGTAGGGGACGATTATTAGGGCCCCCATTGTAGCTAGCCGATCTCAGCGTTAGCGAAAACTTAATCTTATATCAGCATAAAATTTGAGTGTGAGATATGTGATGACACGAGGAAGACATCATAGTAACTTTTGTGCAGTAGTGAGGTCGAATTTATTGCGTTTCCTTAAAAGTTAATGCGCCAACGCTGGCTCAACTTCGATACCATTGTGAGGATGCGGCTTGCTTTTCGCCCAATGAAGTAACAAGAAGCGGACGTTTGGCAGACAAAATACGTGTAGGGCTCAAGGTGACCAAATTTCAGTTGTAGTTCACTGATACTAGACTGGATTACTGACACGAGCTCAAAGATGCACTCGTGGGGTGAGGTGACAAGCCAGGTCTTACTACGTTAGCATACGCACGCACAATATCCAGTGTTTCGGGAACCAAGGAAAGTGCCCCGGTCTTCGTTTTTGTGTCACACGAGAATGAGTGTATTGTACATTCGTGAAAAGTCGGATAGTCGAAAACGCAAGCAGCGCGTTCGGTCGCGGCGTGATAGCATGAGATGAAGCTGCTCACTCGAAACCGAAACTGAGTGGCCAACTAGTTCCCAGAGTGCACTGCGTGATATTTCGCCGCGATGGGGCGCGTCGGTTTTGGAAGAAGTCCATTGCCACAAATGTCACTCAAACCGTAGCAGGACTTTTTCTGCGAATCCACGTAAATGCTGTAGTATCCAGCGAACACAAAAGAACTACCCGGGACTGCGGTGACGACAGAAAACCGACGAGAAGTATCAAAAGAACCACACACGAGAGTAGCGACAGCAGTGTAGGACGAAAGGCTTAACATAATCAACGTATCTCTTGCTCGTGTGCGCTCTCTGCGGCGATGACTGGATT